TTTATTTTAACATGATGAATAAAATATTTTAAGACAAGGTGTTCAAATATTTTCCAAATCATTTCTAAAAAATATGTATGGTATCAGATTAATCTAATTTCTGTGCACTGAGGACAAGCAAGGCCTAGGTTACAAACTGAACTCTCCGATGGATAATGACAGACACAACAGAGTAGCTGCAGAAGCAGAGACTGAATCTGATACTGATAATTACAGCTCAGAAAATGATTCTGATTAAATTTCATGCCCATTCGTTGAAACTTAGTCCCACACTCCCTTCTATACACTTCCCCCCTCTTCAGTTCTTTTTATGAGAATGGTTTTTTATTATTTAATACTGTGGTGAGGAAATATGAATAATTGTTACTTCTGGATTTTTAAAAATTGTTTTGTGGAGGTTTTTTTGTCTGTTCCACATAAACTAGTAAACAGGTCAGGGGATTGTTGCTCCATTTGTTACAATTACAAACAAATATTATTTAAAAAGTAAATTCTGTTTGTAATAACTGTTTGGATACAGTATATTTTTAATATACTCGTGATAATTTCATGCCAAGTAAAATTGTCCATAGTCATATTTTATGTTCCTAAAGAAACAGAATGACTTTCAATCTGGAAAAGAAAAAAGAAGTGCTAATGTAGCATTTTTTCCCCATTTTTCCGAAAATTTCCGTTTTTTCCAAATTTCGAAATTTCCGGAAATTTTACATCTCTAGGGGGTTCCCCTGCTTTTCTCCAGTCTTTCCCACACCTGCTCTCCCGTGAAGCCGGGGAAGTCGGGGCCTCCCTGAGCCCAGTCACATGGCAGCCGTTTCCTCTGCCCCTTCCCATGGCGCCCATTTCCTCCCCCATCAGTTGGGGGGGGGGGGGCTTTTTAAAAAAACGGCCACGGAATATTGTTATAACATTATAACAAGCTGAGCCTCAGGTTGTCCTAACTCCCAGCTTTTGTTTTATCTGAGAAATGACAACCAAATTAGGTTACTATAATGCAGGGATGTCAAACATGCGGCCCGGGGGGCTCCTCTCAGGCCCGCAGTGGAACTGGCTGCCTTCTGCTGCTTCTTCTTCCAGTTCTGCTGCTGCTGCTGCGTCATCGTAGGCTTGCAGCTTACAGGTACACACCTGAACAGCATACTCAAGATGGCAACAGCACAGGCATTTTGATGCCATCACTCAGAGCAAGAGGTGTCAATCATCAGACACTGTTAAATAAACAAAATATTACAAGAGTGCTGATGTTTTAAGCATGTTTTTATTTTAGGTAAAAAACCCTTTGTGTCTTTTATAAAGTGTATATCTCTGCCGCTACCTGGCGTTACATTTTATTTTATTTTTTTTATTTTTTTTATGATATTTTTATTTGATTTTACAAAATTAACATTCCAAAATCATAATAACATATATAGTAGAGTCTCATATGTTCAATGTTTCTATCCAATCATACACCTTAACCCATCTTTTATTATATACTTTTTCACTCTTATTTTGCAGCTTCAAACTTAAACTGTCCATTTGCGCTACTCTAACACTTTTACCACTAAATCTTCCCTAGTCGGCACTGTATCTAATTTCCAGTTTTTGGCCAGTAGTAAACGGGTGGCTGTCGTTATATAAAATCACATATCTATCCTGCTGTTCATAGCCCTTAGGTACCATATTTAATAAATATATTTCTGGTTCCAGAGCTATATTTTTCTCCATTATGTCTTGGATCAACCTCCTCACCATTCTCCAATATTCCTGACTTTTACTACATGACCACCACATGTGGAAAAAAGTTCCAATATTGGCCCTACATTTCCAACATTGACTAGAGTGGCCCGGATAGCACTTAGCTATATTCTCCGGGGACCAGTGCCATCTATGGAACATCTTATAAACGTTTTCTTTATAGGCTATGGCCCTCATAAATTTAATCGATTCCCATGTTTTATTCCACCTATTTACTTCTATCTCTTTGTGTCTTTTATAAAGTGTATATCTCTGCCGCTACCTGGCGTCACGTTTTATGACACACGTGGCCCAGGGGCCCAACAAGGTCTCATTTGTGTCAGATCCGGCCCTCCTAACAAACGAGTTTGACACCCCTGGTCTAATGCCCTTGGAAGGCTGTTCAGAAGCCTCAGCTGGTAGCCAGAGCAGCCGCTGGGCTGGGGGGAGGCGGAGGGGGGGGTTTGATGTGTGTGTGTGTGTTTCTGTGGGGAAGGAAACGGGCATCGCTGAGGCCTCTTATTGACCTCTCTTATCTGTTCGATTTTTACAAGCAAGCCCCCCCCCCCCAGTGCTCATAGGAGCGAGTCCCTCCCCT